CCGGCGCCTGAGGCATAGGCGCATCGGCTCTTGCCGCCTCCTCCTCCTCACAGATAGAGTAGTCAGGGGTCTTCTCCGTTTTTGCGATCGCCGGCTCAGGAACCGGGTCGGCGACCAAAGGCCCGCCAGACACCGGTCCTGACGGGTTCAAGGTGTGCTCAAGCAAAAAAAAACTCGGCCAGTGCCAAACACGGCGGTCGGACAGGTGGTGAGACCAAAGGCTCCGGCTCCTCCACGAGCACGGGCGGCGGAGGACCCGCCCGCCATGTAGGGAGGCCTTCGCAGTCCGCAGCTTTGACCCTTGAACTGGCGGGATGGGCGGTGCCTTCTTGTCTATGCTGTCCTGGCCTGGCGGGATGTAGGCAGGCTCGCCAGGCCGGGCCTTCTGTGGCACCTTCGCCCGTGGCCGGGTGTCAGGGAGCTCGGAGCTGCTCTCCGAACCAGCACTCCCCGAAACTGGAGGAGATCTGCACCACTCGCAACCTCACAGCCAAGGCAGCAGAGGAGCTCCTTGCAGAAGCGCCCTCGGGCCTTCTGGGGTCAGCGAAGACTAGGCCGAGGTCCTGGCGCTGTTGCGCTATGAAGCGCGAATAGCGCTGCGACCCGGTTTTTAGGGCCCACACCCAAAGGATCTGCTGGGGGAGCAACGATCCCCGTAAGCACGACCCCCCGAATCCCTTGACAACAAGGGACGCCCTCGGGGGTCTGTACTCTGGGCCGGCAGGGGTGTGATGAGCACACGTTCCACCGTTGATGAGGTGTTGGGGGCCTGGATCACGAGGCCAAAGTCGGTGAGCCTGGACTCGGTCACGTGGTAGTCCAATGCGAACTCGATCGCCTGTAGCACGAACCACGGCGCATCCGGGGCAAAGGCCAAGTAGGGGGTTGCCGGGCGCGGGCATAGCTGGCACCGGTGTAAGTGTGTTGCGCACGATGGCTGCCCTCGCCGGCAGTGTGTTGCCCGTGTACCCCCATGCCTGTGGGAGGATGGGGTTAGGTGGTGTGGGTGCGTGGTCGAACCTGAAGATGCTGTGCTGTTGTGATGGCGCTGCCGGTGCCAGTGGGCGGAGGATGGGTGCCGGTTGTGACAATGGTGCTGGGTGTAGTGGCGGCAAGGCCGCCGGTGGGAACTGCTGTGGTGTCGGTGAGGGTTGGGTGTCCCAGACGCTGTAGGGTGTGGCGTATTGTGGTGCCTGCAGAATGGAGGGGTCGGCTACTCTCGGCCGCGGCCCGAGCTGTGACAAGCTCCACGATGGGGTCCGCCCGCTGCTGTGAGAAATCATTCCAAGGATCATGGTCGTCCTGCACCAATGGTGGGGGCGGTGCTTTGGCCGGGCCAGTGGCTGTCGATGTAGAAGGTAGCTCCAATTTTCAGAGCAAAGCCTTACAAAAATCATATGATGCTTGCGAAGTCCTCAATATGGACGCTAACCTTCACAACATCGCTTATCACCATCCTTGGATGATTGCTGAGAAGTTCGAATGTGCAATGGCATATAGACTCTTCGGCTACTAGCTGACTTACAAAGGCAGGAACCCTGATCCTTCAACCCTTGAAGCTGTGTAGATCTTCAAAATCCCTCTTGGCCAAGATCCTTCGCCAAGGTGTGAATCGACACCTGGATGAGGGTGGACCCTGCGCGGAACCCTCGCTGGGATCTCTCCCATTGCTTGGGTGGGGTCCCGGTGACCTAGTGCATGCTAGGCGGCCTCCCAGCCCGCCACCTAAAACAACGCCATCTCTGACGCTTCCAGGGACCGCATGAAGGTCAGTCCCGTGCCACAGGAAGGGGCTCCGAGTACCGAGGACACATGTGATCAAGATGTGTCCGCAGTCGGTACTATGGCCTTGGTAGGCGCGGATCCTGCCCTGCGCCAAAAAGCGCGTGTCAAGGCGGGAGCGGTCATCCGAGCATGGACGTCAAGGGCGGCCTGAAAGGCCCGCTCCGAGACGCCGAGCTGCGCCCTAAGGTCGGGTACAGGCAAGTACCCGCCTTGCAGAAAGAACCCGGACATGCCAAGATTCCCGTGGCGAAGACAGTTAACCATCTTCTTTTCACAAGGCGTGGGGTCGTGTTCAAGGCTCCGGCGCGGTCTTCCAGGGCGCCCTTTGCCGTACCCTTTCCGCGGCCGCCCATGGCGACCTTTCGGCCCGCCGATGGGCGGGGCGAGGGAGAGCAAAGGCAGACTGCCTGGCCTGGGCGGCCAGACAACCAGACAAGCTAGGCCCGCCACAGGACCTGCAGACCCGGGCGGCCGGAAAGGCTAGGCCCGTTACGGGTACCTAGCGCACAAAGTTTCTGACCCGGGCAGCCAGAAGCTAGGCCCGCCACGGGTGCCTAGCAGAAACAGAACCTGACCCGGGCGGCCAGGTGTACTAGGCCCGCCACGCGTGCCTAGCAGAAACAGAACCTGACCCGGGCGGCCAGGTGTACTAGGCCCCGCCACGGGTACCTAGTAAGGAAGTACGGTCCCAGTTGCTCCTAAGGAGCGCAAGAAAAACAGAAGGGCAGGAGGCCAAAAAAAGGTGAAGCTCTTTGTCGTGAGAGTAAGGGCAGCTGTCTCCCTTGGGACAGTTACCGTGGTCACGGAAGTGAAAGCAGATCTTCTTCTCTGCAT